ATGCCTTAGCCAGCAATTCCGAGTTACAGCTATGTAATCATAATAATGTAAGAAAGCGGTACATTTGTAGTTTGGAAAATGCCAAATGGGTACAGCTTTCTCTCCCCGAGTTGCCTAGTGATAAAATGGCTGCACTTGGGAAAATCTGACCAAACCAGCCTCTACCAACACAAAATAATTTCGGCTCAGTAGCTGAATGACTAGATACTTTTGGGGATGACCGTTCTCTCTTTTTGGCCCTATTAAAATCAAGTTTTTAATCTTGTATTGCTTCACAAAATTATTCATCGCTGTCTCCTAAATGCGAGAGCTTGCAGGAAACGGTTCTTCCCCTTCTCCCCCCCCCCCCCCCCTCGGCTTTCTTTTCCAGCAAAGGTAGGTAGTTCTTCCGAGGCAGAGAGGTTAAAAGGCTGCTTTGCAAATCACCTTCCATTTCATAAAAATAATTCCGCATTTATTTGCTGGGAGGGGTTTCCCTCCCCCCCCCCACCTCCGTGTGTGCATGATTGATTGAGGTAGGTTAAATCTAGGACACGGTGTGTCAGGCAGGAGTTACAATTAGTCTTGTGCTTTGTTTGGTTGCCAGAGCAGCAGGCAAAGGAAAAGCGGGAGCGGGGGGGGGGTTGAGTTCAACCACCACTGAGGTCTCTGCTTTACAGAGCTCTTCATCTTTCTCCTGTGATCATGGCAGCGGGCAAGCTGCCAGGACGTCCTTCCTAATCTGACCTGCCAGCGCTGAGATGGAAGCAGCTGCTGGCGCATTGCCACACAATTAACTTGTAAGGCTCTGCAGGAAAGCAGTGTGTGAAGCCCGAGCGTGAAACTGTACAAAGCAGCCTTGCCTTGAAAAGCTGGCGCCTCCTGCTTGATGCTGACACCTGCAGGAAGAGAGATCCATCCCCACGTAGAGAGAGAGAGAGAGAGGGAGAGGCGTTAGGATGAGTGGAGGGTCATCTTGGCAGTCTTACAAGTCAGCAAGAGGCGCTCTCTCTAAGGAAGGCGAGGTGAACGGAGAGGAGGAGAAATCTGGTCATCCCCTTCCCGCCTTCCCTCTAAGTCACTTCAAGAGGAAAGACAAGGCTTGCCCCATTGGCCTCTTCCCCTGCACCCCCAAATCCATCCTGGAATTATAGAATTTAAGTCTGTAAGTCCATCTGCCCATTATCCAAATTTATATCCCTGTTTCCCTGATGTAAAAGGGACGTAATGGCTAAGACGCTGAGCTTGTCGTCAGAAAAGTCGGGAGTTCGGCAGTTCAAATCCCTAGCATCGCGTAACAAAGTGAGCTCCTGTTACTCATCCCAGCTTCTGTTAACCTAGCAGTTCAAAAGCACATAAAAAATGCAAGTAGAAAAATAGGAACCACCTTTGGTGGGAAGGCAACAGCGCTTCGTACACCTTTGGCATTTAGTCATGCCGGCCACATGACCACGGAGACGCCTTCGGACAGCGCTGGCTCTTCGGCTTTGAAACGGAGATGAGCACCGCCCCCTAGAGTCAGGAACGACTAGCACACATGTGCGAGGGGAACCTTTCCCTTTCCCTGCTGTATTACAACTTGAGTGTAACCCTGCCTAAGAGTTTCATTGGAGAGAATTTTATTTATTTTATCTCATTTATATCCCGCCTTTATTATTTTTACAAATAACTCAAGGCAGTGAACACACACAATATTCCTTCCTGTGTTCCCCCACAACAATCTTGTGAGGTAGATTGGGCTGAGAGCAAGGGACTGGCCCAAAGTCACCCCATATGTATTGCATAGCACACTTAAAAGCCTGCAACATCCACATGGGATTTGCTTCATGATGAAGGAATAATTTCCCATTATCTTCCCAGTCCAATCCTGCAAAATGAACTTTTGCAACTTCTAAGGTTTTTCAGGGTGAAATATCTACAGAAGCTGAAGCAGAGGCAACCTAATCTTAATCTACAGCCATGTTGAGATAACCTTCTCATCATTTCTGGTAATCGTCCACTCTTATGGGGCTAATGAGGTCTGGAAATCATTAACTGCTGTACAGGCACAGTAATTTCCTATTAATGTACGAACGAGTGTGAGTTAATAAAGCATGATGCTTTTTGGTGAGAGAAGAGAGACGTTTTCTAAACATGGAAAAGTATATACAAAACAACTTTTGCTCATTAGTATTCATTTAAAGATAAGTATTGCTTTGTATTTTAAATGTGGTCCAACTTGCTTTCGTTTCACCTTAGTTCCTGGAAGATGCTCTGGTTTTATATTGTTTCCTTTCCGTACTTTTCTGGCTAATATTAGAACATGCTAATGTCAGTTTCCGATATCTCGGAAGTTTTTGTTTTTTGTTTTGTCCAAAGAAAGAGAATTCTGAGGCTTAGACTACGATTTGGCTTGAGAGAGACACTAGTTTTTTAATTAGATAGTTCACTTCTAAAAATAGAGGTGGCGACTGAAGTAGTGCTAACTGATCTTTCTGTTCCTAGAGTCTTTCTGCATTCTTCAGCCATTCTAAATCGTTCTCCCCACTCTGCCCAAAGAGTTAGAGCCGTGGCGGGGAACCTATGGCACGCGTGCCAGAGGTGGCACCCAGAGCACTCTCTGTGGGCACGCACGCCGTCGCCAGCTGCCCTTCTGGTTTCCAGCGTGCACATACATGCCAGCCAGCTGGTCTTCGTGGGCACCAGAGCACCGGAAAATAGCCCCCCAAAATGGCCCAAACCAGGCCATTTGGGGGCTGTTTTCAGGCCATTTCCAAGACTGTTTTCAGGCTGTTTTTCGGGCCGTCTTCGGCCCGGAAAACAGCCTCAAAATAGTCCAGAAAACAGCCTGTAAACAGCCAAAAAAACAGGCGTGCACGCACAGGTCAGCTAGTCTTTGGGGCTCTGGCACACGTACATGCACCCATGTTCCGATTTGGGCACTCGGTGTTGAAAAAGTTTGCCACCACTGAGTTAGAGGTTTCCCCACATTGCTTCTCCAGATTCTTGCAGGAGATGCATCTCATGAATGAGCTGCATAAACACACCTGCGATAGTCATTGGAAGAAATGTCCATTTGAGTTAAATTCTACCAATGGCTTGATATTATAGGACGTGGCTGTTTTCTGACAAAGACCCTGTTTAAAATCTTCAGCATAGAAACCGAAAATTCTAAGGGTAGATGATTGTTATTAGTAAAACAAGTGTATTTATTTTATAATACATGGCTCAGATGAAAATTAGTTTTCAGCACATGGATCATAACATATAGCACCATGTATGTAAATGAAAACTAGGACTCAATGGAGGGTTTTTGTTTGTTTGTTTCCTTGCTTTTATTTGATAATGGGAAACTTGTGGCTGGGGGTGGCTGGAGACTTTTGAACAGTAATCTAGGAAAGGTTGGCAATATAGAGACTAGATGAGATGCCATGTTTGTATACTGGCACCAAAAGAATATAGGACCCTATTTATGGAAGGGGGTTGTATTATCTCCCCCATTAGCCCAATCTTTATTACTCTTAACAACCAAGGGAGCTTTTGCTGATCTACTTCAGCAGAGAGCACACCCCCCCAAAGGCAGTTATCCCAGAACGGCAAACCACAAGAGAAATGTAAGTAGTCTACTGTAAACATGGCTAATCATCATATTACATTGGAGAAGAACTGGTTTGACTCACTCACAAGAGAGCTTGCTAGGCGCTGAATGAAGAAAAGCAGAGCCAGGCATGATATCGCTTTCGCAGCCTAACTTTGATCCAATAAAATGAAAATCTAATTAAGGAACTAGACAAACTATTAGGCCTTTTATTATAAGATTTGGAAAATAATTGTATAAACGCACCAGGATTGAAAAGCTGATGGTTTAAGGATTTATATATGGATAAGGGTTCGATTAGGGTCTCCAATTCTGGGGTTGCTCTCCAATTCTAGAGAGTAATCCAGAGAGCATCTGTCACTGCAGAGAATATACAGCAGGTGTCCCCAGATAATCTAAGTGATAATTAAAGTCTGTACCAGGAAAAGCTAATCTGCAAAACTCACTACAATTAGTAGACACAGTGACTATCATCTTAAGGGTTGGAGATGCTTTCCCTCACTACCAGTTGCTTTATTGCGAATTGTGTTCTAAAAGCTTCCAAAGGCACTTGATGGAACACGGGGAAAAAATTGCTGAGCCAGCTTGGGTTTTGGCTTGATCAAAAAATATCTCTTATTTACGTTACCCCCATCAAGGTCAATGGGCAAAAATGCTTTCTGAGTCAAAATTGATTCCGAGTGATGGCATCCATCCTTGCCATTCTCTTGTCCTTATTGCAGAAGTGTCTTTATGTTTAGGCAAACTCAACAACCTTATGAGTCCGGTCTGTAGTTTTTTTTGCCATCAGTAGCTTTTAGAGCGGGGAGGATCTTCCTATATCAAAGAAATAAGTTGTGACGAAGCCCAAAGCAAATACTTTCTACGTCAGGCGTGTCAAATTCTAGGCCCGGGGACCAGATCTGGCCCACAGGGTGCTTAGATGTGGCCCGCGGGGCTGCCCTGAAAACAGCCAAGGACCGGCCCATGGTGCCTCTGCCGGCGAAAATGCTGCTTGGGAGAGCCGCAGAGAGCCCTCCCGAGCTCCATTCTCACTGGCAGAGATTTGCAGGAAGCCGTCACATCTGAGAAAGAAGCTCGGGAGTCCGTTTTCACTGGCAGAGCTCTCTCAGGTCACCACAGGTACCCCCGGCACGAGTGATGTCGAGCTGCCCACACCCACCCTGGCCCCTGAGGTCAAACAAAACCCCGATGCGGCCCTCAATGAAATCGAGTCTGACACCCCTAGTCTGGGTTCTCCTGCTGACTTAGCTACACAGAATAGATTTGAGCAGCTACATCGAATTTTAGTCACCACCCACACTTGTTCCGACTTGTTTGGCAGGGATATTTTTGTACTGTGGTTGAGAAAAAGATAGGAAAATGTTTCTGCCCCCAAAGACCTGGGAACTCACTCACAATCCTCCTCTTCTTTCCTCCCCCCCCCCCCCCCCCCGCTCCACAGGCATGCTGGTGGTGAACGTTACCTGGAGGAATAAGACATATGTGGGAACACTACTGGATTGCACACAGCATGATTGGGCACCACCCAGGTAAAACCCCAGATGGGGAGACTCTCTTACTGCATGCTGGTAATATGTGCTCATTTCTGAGCTGGAGGGGCAAGGGGAGGGTGGGGTCTGCTAGAGAAAATGCTCTAATTTTAGGGAATATTGAGAAACTGTCAGCCTGTGCCCTTTCTTCCTCTTGCAGTGCATGTCCTAGTCCACCACCATTTTTTTTTTTTTAAAAAAAATTGTTGTGACATGAGAACTCAAGCAGCTACAGGTTTTGAAGGGAATTTGCCTTGGGTAATCAGCCTTTTCATTTTTGCGTGGGAAGCTGGTGAGGCAACTTCTGCCTAGGAAACCAATCAGTGTTGTGTCTCAGCTGAGCCGGTTGAACTGTTGTGTGTGACTTTATTGAATTACGAAGAGGGAGTTGGGAAAGGTTAGACAATGGATTGTTCAACGACTGTCAGGTGGCGACTGTGCTTATTCTGAAACCTCTCTTTGTCTCTGAATGCGAGAGATGAGGTATTCAAAGCTGGCAGACTCAGGTTTGAGCTTGCCTCACACAAGCAGCAAGGAGGCGCCACTGCCTTGGTGCTAACCTTATAGCTTTGGGAGATAACAATAGAAATAAGTACTTAGACTTAAATACCGCTTCACAGCACTTGTCAGCCCTCTCTAAGCGGTTTACAGAGTCAGCCTATTGCCCCCAACAATCTGGGTCCTCATTTTACCCCCCTCAGAAGGATGGGAGGCTGAGTCATCCTTGAGCCTGGTGAGATTCAAACTGCCAAATTGCAGGCAGGTGGCAGTCAGCAGAAGTAGCCTGTAGTACTCTAACCACTCGTGTGATAGATAGTCACTTGCAGAGAGAGAGAGAGAATGGCTCAAGGGCTACACTCAGTGCTTATTCTTAACTTCTGCTCTGCTGCCTCCTAGATTCTGTGACTCTCCCACCAGTGACCTGGAGATGCGGAATGGCCGTGGGAGGGGCAAGCGTGTGCGTCCCAACAGCAACCCTCCAGTGGCCGAAAGCACAGCAGCCACGGATACCAAAAGTTCCAGCAACAGTAGCAAGACTCGGGCAGGGACCAACAGCAAAGGACGCCGAGGAAGCCAGAACTCCTCGGAGCACCGCCTCCCCACCAGTGGCACTTCGGAAGAGGTCAAGGCCAGCCCTTCTTCCGTGACCAAGCGAAAGAGCAAGCCTCTCTCTGACATGGAAGTGAATTCCAGTTCTGAGGACTCCAAGGGAAGCAAACGTGTCCGCACAAATTCCATGGGCTCAACGACGACACCTTTAGTTGTGGCGGCAGCTGCGGCGGCAGCAGCAGCCAACACAGCCGTCAAAGTGGAGCCTGCCATTTTGGATAGGAACTGTCCCTCTCCTATACTCATTGACTGCCCCCATCCCAACTGCAGCAAAAAATACAAGCACATTAATGGACTCAAGTATCACCAGGCCCATGCGCATACTGATGACGACAGCAAGCCTGAGGCCGATGGGGATAGTGAGTATGGAGAGGACCCCTCTCTTCCGACTGACTTGAGCAGCTGCAACGGTGCTTCCGGGAGCCAGAAGGGCTCCCTTTCCCCAGCCCGCTCAACGACGCCCAAAGTGCGGCTGTTAGAACCGCACAGTCCCTCGCCATCCAACAAGTTCAACCTCAAAGCCACTTGCAAGAAGAAATTAGTTGCCGAAGGTGATCCCGATTCTGGTGCTCTTTCTAATGACGGTTCTGAGGATGGTCCTTTGATACCCGACGAGACGAGCAACGACGGCTTTGACTCTGTAGAAAAGAGGACGGGGGAGAAAGAAAAGACGAAAAAGCTGGTCGGCATCAAGGCCGAGAAGATCAGTTCCAAGAGCATCAAGTCTGCCCGGCCCATCGCCCCAGCCATCCCCCCTCAGATCTACACTTTCCAGGCAGCCACGTTCACCGCTGCTAGCCCTGGCTCCTCCACGGGTCTCACCACGACTGTCGTGCAGGCCATGCCCAACAGCCCCCAGCTGAAGCCCATTCAGCCTAAGCCAACGGTAATGGGCGAGCCTTTCGCCGTCAGCCCAACACTGACCCCCGTCAAGGACAAGAAAAAGAAAGACAAGAAAAAAAAGGAACCCAAGGAAGTGGAGAGCCCCTTGACCCCCGGGAAAGGGTGTCGGGCTGAGGAAGGCAAAAGTCCCTTCCGCGGGGAGCCCGGCGATCTCGGGGCGAAGGGAGAGAGCCTCCTCAACGGTTCCTCTGACCCCCACCAGAGCCGCCTGGCCAGCATCAAGGCCGAGGCAGATAAAATCTACAGTTTCACTGACAATGCCCCAAGCCCGTCAATCGGGGGGACCAGCCGGCTAGACAGTACGGCTCCCGCCCAGCCCATGACTCCCCTTCATGTGGTCACCCAAAATGGGGCCGAAGCCAGCTCCGTGAAGACAAATAGCCCTGCCTACTCCGACATCTCAGACGCCGGGGAGGATGGGGAAGGGAAGTTGGAGAGCATGAAGGCCAAGGACCCTGATCAGATGGCCAAGGAAGGGGCCAAGAAAGCCCTCTTCCCTGCTCAGCCCCAGAGCAAGGAATCTCCGTATTACCCAGGTTTTGAGGCCTACTATTCGCCAGGTTACGCCCAGTCGAGCTCCAGCCCCATTAACCCCAGCAACCAAACGTCCATCGATAGCCAGGCGCTGAAGCTGAAGAAAGACGAAGAGCCACCGAGCCCAGAGGTAAAGGTGAAGAATGAGGCCTGCGAGGAGAAGAAGGCCGAGTTGGGCCCCTCCAGCCAGCAGCCCTCTGTCATCCAGCAGAGGTCCAACATGTACATGCAGTCCCTGTATTACAACCAATACGCCTACGTGCCTCCCTACGGCTACAGCGAGCAAGGCTATCACACCCACTTGCTCAGCACGAACCCAGCCTATCGGCAACAGTACGAAGATCAGCAGAAGCAGCGCCAGAGTCTGGAGCAGCAGCAGCAGCAGCAGCAGCGTGCGCTGGACAAAAAGGTGGACCTGGGCCTGAAGGAAAGAGAGGTGATCCTGAAGGAGGAGTGGAAGCAGAAGGCTTCTCTCCCACCCACTCTGACCAAAGCACCCAGCTTAACTGACCTGGTCAAACCTGGACTCAGTAAGGCCAAGGACCAAGGAAGTGATGTAGCCAAGTCGGTCATTATCCCCAAATTAGAGGACTCCACAAAACTCCAAGGCCAGGCTCTAGAAGGCCTCAAGGGGAAATTAAACGAAAGCCATCTCGGCAAAGAGACGGCAGACTCGAAGGCAGGTTTGGACTGTGGTCGGCAGGCTGAGGTGGACCCGGTACTTTGGTACAGACAGGTAAATGAGCAGGAGGAGGAGGATGCTGGGTGGTTGAACTGGGAGGGGGGTTGTCAGAATGACTTAATTCCTGGGTGCAGAAAACTAGATGGAGAGGAAGTGAGGACAGCATTAATGTGGATGCTTGTTTGGTTTCCTGGGTTTCTGGATCTTGAAACCTCTGCCAAAATAAGTCCGGCTAGCGCAACTACAGTTGGTATATATAATTCAAATATCCAGGTGGTATTTAATATATAATTGATATATAATTCAAATATCCAGGTGGTATTTAATCACTCCCCCCCCCCGCCCACATTAGTGCTTGATTTTTGAGCAGCCAAATAGATGAAAAAAGAGCTATTGTTTAATGATGCACACAGCAGAAAAAACATAAGGATTGTGTAGCTTTTGTCTTAGTTCAGTGCTTCCAAAGATGGGCTTATCTCACTGCTCAGTCTTAATAAAGTAGATCAGTGATAATAAATTAAGCAACATTAATCAATAGAAATGAACAATTTATAATGTATATTTGCTTCTGCTTGTTAATGTTGCTAGAATTTTAGAATGTTGGTGAATGTTGTGCGATGCTTCAGAGAAGGATTTGATTGGTAGATGAAAAGCCCAGAAGGTAAATGCTTTTATAAGGTGGGAGGGATCCGTGTGAATATAAATTGCTTCCATAGACTCTATATTTAAAATATTCCACCTGAGGTTCCCCCAGCTTCCAATATGGCGACTTCTGGGCTGTGGAATTGCTAGTCACCTGACTGACTCAACCTATGTTGCTGCAGGAGGCTGAACCCCGCATGTGGACATACGTTTACCCCGCTAAATACCCTGACATCAAAATGGAGGATGAGCGGTGGAAGGAAGAGAGGGAGCGAAAGTTAAAAGAGGAGAGGAGCCGCGGCAAAGAATCCCTCGGGAAGGAGGACGGGAAAGAGAGCATCAACTCTGACTGCAAAATGCCTTCCAGCGAGGACTCGCGCCTAATGGGGAAAGACGCCAGATCCGGCACCCATGTGCCCGTGTCCTCCCCCCTCACCCAGCACCAGTCCTACATCCCCTACATGCACGGCTACTCCTACAGTCAGTCGTACGACCCCGGCCATCCCAGTTATCGTGGCATGCCAACTGTCATGATGCAGAACTATCCAGGTAGGGGGAATTGAAAGGGAACCCTGTGATTACAGGTGGTTTCCATGGTGCAGAAAGAAGGAAAGCTCCCAAGTTGTTGGTTTTTGTCTTCAGAATAAAGTGAGGGGATTGAGCTCAATAGACTGATATAGTGAGATGTCTCACAGCATCAAGATGCTGTCAGGCTCTGAAAAACCAAGAAAGTCACATCATGATTATTCCAAGCAGATTTCTTTAGCGCTCCTTACCCAGACAGAATCTTGTCAAACTAAAGCAAACTCCGTCACTGTAAAGCATATATTCTCCATTGTGCTGAGTAGAGAATCTAAGGAATGGGTTAGCTCTGTCCTTTCTGCTCGGAGACTGAGTCTATCAAGCTTCCGGTCACGCCTCCTTTGCCCATGCAAGTCCCAGTTTTGATTCAGTCTTTGCTCAGAATTGACCTGTGGAGAAGTGCTCTTAGAACAGAAGGACAGAGTTATTCAGTGGATTCTGGATTTTCACTGTAAGGTTTCCAGCTCCAAGTAAGCCTTCTGATAGTGAACGGCTAGGCTGGCTCCCCCAGTCCATCCAGCATAGCCGCATCGTTCCAATCTGATCGGCTGGCTCCCCGGTCCGTCCGGCATAGCCGCCTGGTTCCGGCTCCAGGAATTATAAGGAGAGGAACCATCTTCACCCACTTTCCCTCACACAAACGATATGAACTGAGATGTCTCTTTCTCCTCTGGAATTCCCTTCCTGGGAATTCAGACCCCATTCCGTCACAGTTGCAGATAATTTACCTTTACTTTGCTTATGGGAGTGTTTCTTAAACTTATTTTTTCCCCCTCGCATCCCCTGCTCATTTTTTAAAATTATGGAGGACCCTAAAAGGGCTTTTGTGTCTATATGGGTTATGTGCTCCGTGTGCCCCAAGCATTCAAAGTTGATAATTTGGTCTTGGTAGCTAATGATGATCTAGGAATATAAAACCGGAAGAAGACTGTGTGGAATGACATCTCCTACAAACTTTGAGTCAGTCCCTTTCCTTTTCTCATCTTTTCCCTGTAGAAGGCATGACATCGGTTGGTTTCTTTGGGTGGGTGGCTCTTCTGACAAACCCAGGATAGAAATGCTGACTGGTATCTCTCCCGCAGGCTCTTACCTTCCTTCCAGCTACTCCTTCTCCCCGTACGGCAGCAAATCCTCGGGAAGCGAAGAGAGCGAAAAATCCCGAGCTAGTCCTATTATCGGCTGTAAATCCAGCTCTGAATCCAAGGCCCTGGACATCTTGCAGCAACACGCCAGCCACTACAAGAGCAAATCCCCAACGGTGAGTGCTACTTATGGTGCTGCACTAACTAGTTCTCAGCTCTGGGCTTTTTCTTTGTGCCTGGCTCAGAACCTTTGGCTCTTCTCTCGTGGATCTTAGCAATATACAATAGCACATACGCATATACTGCTTCATAGAGCTTTTACAGCCCCCTCTAAGTGGTTTACAGAGTCAGCCTCTTGCCCCCAACAATCTGGGTCCTCATTTTACCCACCTCAGAAGGATGGAGGGGTGAGTCAACCTTGAGCCGGTGAGGATCGACTTCATGTCAGTGGGCAGAGTGCAGTAATAGCACTTATATATCGCTTTACAGCCCTCTCTAAGTGGTTTGCAGAGTCAGCCTCTTGCCCCCAACAATCCGGGTCCTCATTTTACCCACCTCAGAAGGATGGAGTCAACCTTGAGCCTGGGGAGATTTGAACTCTAAGTGGTTTGCAGAGTTAGCCTTTTGCCCCCAACAATCCGGCTCCTCATTTTACCCACCTCAGAAGGATGGAGTCAACCTTGAGCCTGGGGAGATTTGAACTGCTGAACTGCAGCTAGCAGTCAGCTGAAGTAGCCTGCGCTCCAACCACTGCGCCACCTAAGCTCTTACCTTGATTGGAGCAGTACCTGTGCCTCTTCTCTCGTGGAGTCCACCATGATTGGAGCAGATGATTGATGCACTTGTCCTGCCTGGTGGCTGGAGTTTGCAGGAACTGGAGAAATCCAACAATTTCAGGGCAACGTCAAAAATCTGCCCAGGATGGCCTGCCATTCCTTACAGAGTCATGCTTTGGGCTTCAAACCCGTCTGTTTTTCTGCTTGCCCTGCAGATAAGCGAGAAGGCCTCTCAGGAGCGCAGCGGCTGCGGGATAGGAGGAAGCAGCGCAGGCTGCAGCAGCCTAGGGGGAGCCAGTGGCGCGGAGAGAAGCGTTGACCGGCCTCGCTCCTCCCCTTCACAGCGTCTGATGTCTACGCATCACCATCATC